ACGTTCACTGAATCTTTACTGAGAGCTTTTCTGGTTTTGTTCTGACAGGGTTTTAAAAGCGCGTGTGGTCCAATTCATGTCGAGATGCGTGAGTGCCTCTCTGAGATTCACCAGGGGTTTGTGCGAGACGTGAATGGCATTGTCAACATTCCTTGGTTTTCCAAGGCTTTTGTAAGACATGAAAATGACTTTTTCTGTTATTTGCGTTTGCGCTCCTGAGCTTGCCCTGATAAAACGCATCCATAGACGGTATGCAACAGCGTCCCCTGGTGTAAATGAGATGCTTCCGCTTGTATGCCAACCAGCAATTGTTTCCTGTCTGCAGTATTTTGATCTCTATCATGTTGATGCTCCACACATTTGGGTGGGTTGAATAGAGGAAATAAGAGCAATGAGATAAATGGATGCCAGGCACTGTGAGACACTGTGCAGCTTTGAAAATCCACCTTTCTCCGTCTGATGTGTATTGTGCTGCTGTCAGTGCTGTAGGTGTTGGAGATGACAAGGAGCCTTTATCAAATATTAACAATGCTACCAGCCCTTCTGTTTCATCTAATGTTTTCTGCGCACATCTTTCACACATACTGTACATATATCAGGGATGTGCACAATGGCCCGAAACACTAACCCCTTTTCCTTCCTGGGCCGAGGTGCCCTCTGGAGAAAGTCTATCCAAGCTAAAATGTCTCTCTTTGTCTTCCTGTTTATCACTCCCCCTCCCCAAATGAGTCTCTTCCGCTCTGGCATTCCCTCTCTGTGACTGATGTGTCAAATCTTAACCAGACAGGGTTTGGGGTGTAAAGACGACCAAACAATACAGACCTGAATCAGCAGCTAATCTGCTCCATGTCTTACACAGAAGCAAATATGAAACTGGATTTTTACATTTCATCTAAAGAAATGCGAGTAATGCTTGCATGTACATCACTGCCACAATTTGATTGGTTTACCAGGTACTATGTGGTCGCTGTGAGCAATTCTTACGGCCTGAATTTTAATACTTAAAGAGGTTAATGGCTCGTTCAAAATTCAGAACATGAGCGATAGTAATAGTTGTGCTTGCTTTAGCAAACATGGCTAAATATGTTTGTGGAGATAAGGACAGCGTGCACAGAAACCCTGCTGCACCATCAGGTCCCTTCGCTCGCTGCAGCTCGGCTTTGATTGGCTGGCTGTTAGTGCTGCCAGCTCATTTGTTGTTTGATTCAGAGTGGTAGGACATCTATCAGCTATCTGTGCCTGTCCAACAATGAAACAGCCGGGTAGGCAGTCTTCCCTTTGTTAGCAGAATGGCTAAAGTTTGTGTAAACGGATGAGTGATGTGGGGTACTTGCAGTGTAATTGGCCACTAGAGAGCAAGATCTGTATTTTCAGCAGAGCGCAAGTCTTGAGTCGAATTCATCGGTAGGTCAAAGCAGGGCGAACGTTGTGCTGAATCATGATGCCTTTAGCTCAGCGAACACCCGCATAACGTTTTACATGAGCAAATGCTACCTTGTGGGTAGGCAGAATTGCATGTAAGTGATCAATTATGTAGTTGCGTTAGCCAAGATTGTATTGTTTATTGAGAGAGCAAAGAATAATGTATCTGCTTGAAGCAAGAGGCGGCATGGGAAATACCTTTGGGAACAGACACAGTTCAATCACTCACACGAGATGCCTGTTCACACCAAGAATAAAAAGAAAAAGCAACAAACTGAAAAGAAAAACGCACACATGCTTCAATGCAAAAGACAACTGTAGTGATTATAATTCTAGTGTGGGAACAGCTGGCTTAATTACGATCACAGGGGTGTGCTACTATAGTAATTATAAAACAGCTGTTGTACTAATGATGCTAGGTGAGTATAGTATAAATATGTTTTCAACAATACCGATACCAAAAGCTCAGTATCAAGAATATAAATCCCATGACCCAAAATCTCACATCTCACTGGTCAAAGGGCTTATTTTATTTTATTTTATTTTATTTTATTTTATTTTAATGTATCCATCCATCCGGACAAAGAAAAAAAAAATCTACTTAAAATAAAAAAAAAACAAATCAGCCAGTGGACAAATTTAAACTGGCCCGTATGCATTTTGTTTTGTGCATTTTTATATATGTGTGTGTATATACACTGTATA